CAAGAATTTAATCTTTGTACGGCTTCAATTATGGCAGGTATTCATTTTCATCTGATTCATCTTCGTCAGATTGGAAGTGTTGATCGGTATTTACCGATGACACGTTATTGGCTTTTAATTCCCTATAACCGTACGATGGAATGTTTCTCGATGTCTGCAATATGTGTTCTCAAGGGCATAAAGATTCTCTGCGAAGACAGAAGAAGATTCATCGGAGAATAACACAGCGTAACGTCAAATATAACAGAACGAGAACCGCGAAGTAATCGAATTGACACACGTCGGAACATCTGCTTGGAAACGAATTGAGTTTGCCAATCACGTTCTAGCAGCGCCTTGTTTCCTACCCGAAAATAATATATGGATAACGGGGCAGATAGTCCAGTAGACCTAATTCAGACTATTCGTGGGGTTCGATCATACCTCGAAAAATCCCAGGAATTACGCCCAGGAAATTCGTGTTGGGAAATGACGGGCCTCCGCACAGTCACGATGTGTATCTTACGGAACGAGAACAAGTAAAATCAATCAGAATCGCAGAATCGAATTGCCTTCCTGTAATTACACACTCGCCAGTGGATAACACCTGCAAAGGTCAATCACCACCGGTCGGCAAACGAAACGACCTGGGCGTGAGGAGTTACTGCTAACGATAACATTGTCGATAAATATCGATTAATATGGACAGTGTATATTAACCCGACCAATTCAAGATCTAATCGAGACCTAGTGCGCAGACACTTATCGATATATTGAATGTGACTCGGGGCGCGACTAATCGAAACGGTGTAGACACTGTTAGAATGAAAACTGTTTATGACATTTTATGGATATTGACACACATACATATAAAGAAATGGCAAGAAAGATAGGGTATTCTAACATGTACCTATACCTTTGGAACCAATGGTTCCAGGATCGATACAAATTAATCTAGTTACTTTATTCTCTTTCTATTTCGATCACCATTCGTTCCGGGATATCTCCATACCCTTAGAATAAAAACTGTCTATGCGTTTTTATGGCTGCATTATTGGAAATATAAAGAATCGGTAAGAAACATATTATTCGAAATAATATTTCATATCATTTCAGAAGTGCCCAGGTCTGAACCGTCCTAATCCATGGAACCTGTGGTTTCGTTGCATAACGGGTGGCGAACCGTCACAGTCACGGAGGAACGACGTGCGAAGAGGAATCGGTGACGGGACACTTCTTTCTGCCCGTAATGCACCGTCCAGTACGGCGGAAGGGTGGGGGGTGTGGAGGGAGAAGCCGCGCCCGTTCGCGGCGGGGAGTCATACGGATCGAAAGAAAGAGTCCCGGGGCATCGGCGGAATACAAACGGCAATCATTCCGAACTTATTATCGTGAGTAAGAAACTCATACATGCTTATGACTTTCGTGTCGCTTTTTATCGTGACCATCGAGCGAACCAGTTAAAGGACCGTTTGTTCGGATTGACTGCGACCTGTGGATGCAGCAAGTGGCAGGTTGGAGGTAATGGAGGGGGAACAGAAGATCCAGTGGAAGAGGAGAGAATGGATGTAGAAGGGAACGGGGCCAGGGAGAATGGAACGAGTTCAGAAAAGGAGGATCGAGAAAGAAATAGAACGAATGAGAGAAAGACACCGTGGAGGCAGATAAGAGGGAACAAAATGAAGAAACAGTCCCCTCACCCCCCCTGAGCGCGGTCCCCTCGACGTCATTTGTAATACCGAATGGCCTAATGATGCGAGCTGCTCGTGACAGGACGAGGATAAAAGTGGTAACCGCTCGGTCCCACAGATTCACCGATGATGCTCGGCTCTTTGTATGTAGAGTACGGAGAGAGACTCGTAGATGTTCGTGTGCACGTAGGTTGGTACGTACCGTACGCTGCTCGATTGTTGGGGACCGAATCCCCGGGAACAATTTCCAGCACGTAATGGTGATTTGCTCGATCGCTGAAACGGAGGCACTTTCCGCGACTTCATCGGGCAATTTTTGCACTCGTCGAATGCCACGGTTATTACGTTAGTTGTGGCAAGGTGAACGTCGTCGTTGTTGTCGTGAGTTCGTTTATTCGGTAGTCACAACGATGTCACGGCGAATGTGTCTTGTGACTTTGTCGACGTAATTGTAATTGTTTTGGAAAAATAACTACTAAGCCTTCGTTATTACTGTAGAGCCACCTGTATTGGAACTAATGAGGAGACGTAAGTATTCGGATAATAGAATAATCGATTTTCTGATACTAAATATCATTTATCTAAGTAGGAATATAGAAAATTGACAGTTTTATTAAAAATTGTGATAAACTAAATGTTAATAATACCTCTCTACCTGACCTGCAATATCCACTAACTGGCCCGTTACAAAGTTCCTCGTCTCAACCTTCCAATCCGGAAGCAAAATTGCTCTATCACCGAAGAATTTATTACGAAGTTCAAATTCACTTTTCTCAGTTTAGAAACTGGTAGGCCACTTAAGAACAAAAACGACAATTTGTGTCGTCCAGTTTAATTCAAGGTGCGTAACATTATCATTCAGAAACCTCAATTCGTATTGAGTTATGTTCACCACGGAAGTGCCGTGTGGCTAAATCCCCAGATAGATTCATCAGTTCAAAGTATTCTATAATATTTACGTACAACCCGTTTTCTCGTCCGTCTATCAGGGGATCGGGAGCAAAAGGAACAGGAAAACGCTCGAACGACCGTGTAAAATCACGGCCGTCCCGTGCAACCGAAAGTCTCGTTACAATACGCCTCTGAGGAGCTCCATGAATCACGTGGCGAGTACCGATTAAGAATTTCAATTCGAACGACACCGCGGGAGATCCGCGTCGCGTAAATCTCGAGCGAACTACTTCGCGAGTAGAAAAAGGCTGGCTACAGGAACGGTCGGGGAGGATGGGAACGGGGGGCATTACTCACGTGTAATCTGGGCTCCGCGCTCTAAAACGCGGGATTTATACCTACGCGAGTCTGCGCGTCAATGACGAGAAAAGAAGCTGCCCGCACAGGTAGTATCGAGAGATGCGGGGAGATTGCGCGCTGTTGTATGTTTTATCGCATCGCAGCGTGAAATTATACGATCGTGCGCCGGGGTTCGGTGAACTTCCAATCTTGGTGGGACCGATCGGGCAAAAAGTGTGGCGTGCCAAATCTGGAACAAATTGATCGCGAATATTTTTCTTTTTCTCGTTTCTCGTTCACACGGAGTCCCCTTTCGCGTTTCGTTGGATGAACGAAGTGACCAGTGTACAGTCACCGATTACGTTATTATTTTTACATTTTTTGGTGGAACGATTACGCATTTGTTTCATTACAAACACAGTTGTCGAAACTTGAATATGACGAAGAGTTTTCAGAAACTGAACGAACGAAGAAATTTTAGCCAGGTGTTTATTTTCTGGAAAGACTACGAAAACGCTTTGTGGTGTTAATTAATCTCTGTTTGGCCCTTTAATGCCCAGATTCTTAAGTCGTTATTTCAAAATTGTGAGACTGATACGCATATAACAGGGTGAGTCAATGAAAACTACTATCTAAAGTAACTTGTCCATTGATTGTATCAGAAAATGTTTTAATGAATTATGTAGCATATTAAGGGATGCATCGGGTGGATACAATTTGTTTTTTCATTTCTTATTTCTTTTAGACATGAAGGTGAGCTTGAGTTTTTTCAAGGTCAGTGCATCTTTCTTTTTTAAACCACATTGTTGCCAATAGAAGGACGAATTCAACGACCTATAGCGAGATGGTATGAAAAAAGAAATGCATTGACCTTGAAAAAACTCAAGGTTTTAGATAATAGTTCTTATTGACTCTTCTGGTCTATGTCTTATCTTGTTATTTGGAAGTCAAAAATATATTAAACCGACCTATTCCTTTTTAATTTTTTTGTTTAATTTATTTTTGGTAGGAATACTTGAATTTCTCTACCAAAAACGTTGAGATCTACTTCACATCAGTGAAACTATGGATCCTTGCTGACAAAAAATAGCTGGGAGTTAAAGGGTTAATTCTAGTTTCTGATTAGTCTTCTTATTTTCGATGTTAACTTTGCAGGAGCAACTGTAACGCAAGAGTTTAAAAAAGCACGGTACTAGGATCAATCTTTGTTAAAATTCTTTATTAAATGGTATCATTTACCCCGGGAACTGAAGTATGACATTAATGTCTGAAACGGTCCAGCGTTTCCAGGAATTAATTTCTCCTCCTTTTCGTGTGCAGTATTCAAGAACCATGAGTAAATGGCAATGTCGTAAAGTCGGATTGAATTATGGACAAAATTTAAGTAGATACTTGAGTACCGATCATATTACACGTAGCAATAACGCACGTCAGAAGTGGAAAAATATTCGAATATATTGCTTGGTTGATGATGAATCGAACACGACGTAAACGTATTGAGTGTCCCTAAATTTTCGGCTCCTCCTGGTAGTCTACGCTATTATGATCCAAGTTTAACATAAATCAACGACAAATTGTCCACGCGTACGATCTCTCAGGGCTAATTCGTCCTCCGTCTTCGCGACCCATAAACATCCGTGACAATCAATCTTCGGTGGAAGTAATCTGCAATCAGGTGATTGTGTTCGTGTCCAAACAGACCCAATCTTCGAGTATAGATCTGACAACATTTGATGATACCCCTCATTTCGCAGGGATTCACCGACTTGGTACTGACAAAATTGTTTTAACCGTTCGATGGCGAAGCTGAGTCAATTCTGGACTTCTCAAATACAAAATTTTATGTATGAAACTTTTTACTTGGCTGTCGGACATTTCAATTATCCATCGGTTAATTAACTCTTGTAACAGCTATATATTTCTCCCTTCTGTCATTAGCATATTGCACGTTTGATCTTCAAAATTACTTTTAATTTTCGATTCTGAACTTTTAATTTTAACAAGATTACCAAATCGTTTGGTACATCAATTTTGTTCTGTAGTTGAACGTTTTCGGTTTCCAGCGAGTTTGATTGCATGCAGTTAAATCCTTCTATCCCCCTAATGTAGTCCCTTTATTGGCCACCAAATGGGTTTTCTTATCGAATATATCGGTCGTTCTTCTTCCGATTCTTCATATAATCTGGGTGGTTTCTCTACCCATTCTTCTTGTGATCTGGCTGGTTTTTTCTCGCAACTGTCATTATCGATGTGCTTGATCATAGGCTTAAAGTCCCCGCATTTTGGAAAGCCTTTTGGCGTCTTCGGCACATCATCTTGATTTCCAACGCGGAAAATAAGTTCCATACCGACTTGCTGATGGAAAACGAAGTGGCAATGGAACAACCATACCCCTGGATAATAACAAAATGGAATTGTTAATTTCACTTAACTGGTCAACGAATGTGAACTTTTTTAAAAACAATTCTTTAACATACCTGGATTACTAGCACGGAATCTGATCACGATATACCCATTGTTTGGTACAGGAATAGTATCTTTGCCAGGAGGAGCTTTCAGATTTCGCGGTAATTTACCTTGTCTATCAAGATCTCTGATATGATCCCGTGTTATATTCCGTGTGGCATTCACTAAAGTACCATACGGCTGGCTCATTGTCAAGACATGAAAACCAGATCCATGCAGATGGAAGGGATGATTCAAAAATCCCGCACCACCTGAAGTATACATAATTAGATTTACAATAACTATTAACCAAAATTTTAGTGCCTTGAATGTATCAATTTCCGCGTTCAATTCTGTTTTTTTTTCTACTTTTTTAAGAGCGTTTCGATACTTACCCTCGTCGACCAGGACGATTTCCACGATAGCGTCCAGCGGAAGGTTTATGATATGCGTGCACGAACAAGTGGAATTCTGCTTACAGGTAGATGGTATATGCGTATCATTGCAAAATTGACTCTGATCAAGATCCTTAAGTTGAGATATCGGCGGAGAAGGAGGAAAACGGAACGTAATTCCGTTCATATGTGCATTGAGATCCAACGATGGATTAGGTACTACTGTTGAAATCATAAGGGTATAATTAATTTGTAAACAGTTTTATGTACGCATGGTACTTCATTAAGATTCTGTCGTACCGAAAAAGTCCTCGTATTCGTTCGGTTTGAAGAACTGTGCCGATGGAATGTTGTTGAATCCCAGGGCTAAAAATAATTTTACGTCCGGCTCTTGTTTCTCGATTCCTGAATCGATGTAACCGAAATTCCTCAAGTCACTGATGCAAATGAGATTTGGACGCTTCACATTGCAGTCACCATCCAATGGGTTTAGGGTCTATCGTTATGGAAAACATAACTTATAAAATCGTCCCTTTTATACGTTGGTCGTTTGATAAGAATGTTTGCATTCGTATATAAGATGTTTGCTAAGGATATTCTTACACTCGACGATACAACTAGAGGATTAAATAAATGTTACGAGGAAGAATACAGAAATGTGACTTACTATTTTGCTGGGTAGAGTCTGGTTATACGTAGGCATCGGTGACGTTGGTCTCTGGGTTTTACCTAAATATTGTATCTTAGCTAATTGTTGAATGCTTCTGCCTAGCAATTGTGAGCAAACACCTATTAAACGAAGTTGTATCCAGTAAGTGCCAGGACGTTGGTTAGTTTCTAAGATGAAGTCAAACCGTTCCGCTGCAGAGAAAGAAAGTACATCGTTTTTGAATTAAAAATTGATCCTAGGATTCCATAAAATACGTAATCTTAATTTTTTTTAAATGTAGATTCTTAAATGCAATGTCGTTGTGTGTGTACATATTTGTTGTTTAATCGAATACATAGTAACTAACTGAGAATAATTATGTTAAACTCGCATCTTTATGCCATTACATTTGACATTTAGTTTAAGTTACTGGTCAAAGTACCTGGGAACGAGATTATAGTATCTACCACGGTAGGTTTCACTTTCAGTCCATCAGTCGTAATAACCGTAACATTATGCCCTTCGATAGTCAATTCACCAGGGCAGACCGCACAGAAAGCGTTAATTAAACGGAAACGATATCGCTGATTTGGTTCCACAGTGAAAACCTCCAATGGAATGTTCGTTGAACTGCCATTGGCGTACTGTAACATAAGACACCCTTAATCGTTTCACTTATTAGTGGTGTAGAAATTAACATTTTTTACTAAGAATCCTAATTCATCACCCAAACATAACATCGACACATATTTTGTATCGATAAAATGTTGGTATTTGTTGGTTTTACCCTTGCTAGTATTGAACGTTATATTCTACCCAAAAATTCTTAGTATTGTTTTATCACTCTTCACAATAGCGAGAGTAATAATAGTTAACGTGAGCATATTTACTGTGTAATTTCCCCTTCCATTGATCAACACGGCATCAGGATGTTGAAGAACTACGCCGCTTATGCGACCCGGATGTCGTTCGGTGGCCAGTTCGTCCATCCAGTCGTTGATCACTATAATGTGTTGCACTAAATCGAAATCATAAAGTTTCGCGTAAAGATCGGTCTCCACTGGTTCTCTTACGATTAAACTGCCGAAAATGCCGTCCATTTTCTGCAGTCCTGTATGAGCGTGCCAGAAATGAGTTCCGCAATTATTTGCATAAAACGCATACCTATAAAAAAATAATTATTTCTTTTTGTTAAATAATATCTACGGTGATATTATGTTTCATTTGAATATTGAATATTTCAATTAATCGATTCAACAACAAACCTGAACGTGGTTCTAAAAGTAATTGGACATTGAGTTAAACTGGGCACCCCGTCGTAGTGTTGAGTCCCTTTCTGAAACACTCCGTGCCAGTGGATTGAAATTGCATCCTCCTTTATACCGTTCTCAACATCGACCACAATTTTATCACCCTGGCACACGTTTATGGCTGGTCCAGGCATCATTCTGTTCACTAGTAACCCCATACGTTGAACGCCGTTGCCAGGCACGCACTGACAATTGGCGCATATGTGAGTAGTCACGTTTGGTGTGCAAAGACTGCATGCTCTAGAAACAATCGCAACAATTGGGTTTTGTTATTTTTTCGATACGAAGAGTTAATTTAAACTTAAGATTTAAAAAGTCCTAAGTGTAGTATAAGATTGTAAATTAAATGTATAGCATAAGAAGTAATACTAATTAAAACAGACCGATAACGTTTTCATGTTACTTTAAACGTAGCAAACCTTTTGACACGTAGAATACATTTTTTTTTTGTAAAATGGCAACAGAAATTCGTACGAGATGATTTATTCGATTCAATGAATGTTTCTTGCATGTACTTACTGTCCACTGATGGGATAACGTTCAACCATGAATTTATAATAACAAATTTTCGGTTTGGCGCCTTTGTGACATGTTCGTGCACACTCAGTAGCAGTTGATAGTTTAGAACTATCACGAATTTCGTCGTTAATACAATCGTCTTCGTTTACAGTTGGCATACCACTGACTCCAGGCGCATAGCCCGCAACAATGTTAACACCTTCAGCTCCATACCCGACTGAACCTGATATTTGAATTGAACGAAGAATATATAATAATTATATACTATGTAGTATTAAACTTCGTTAATATTTCAATCATATTCTAATTAACATTTCGAATGAAAAATAAAAGGAAAACTGACAATCAAGATCTTTTTTACAATTCTTGTTTACAATAAAAAGAACGTAAAATCAAAACTGTAAACAGTGGCTATTGCTTTACTATTCTTGTTCAGGGAATATATTTGACAAATACGTAATCGATGTTTGTAAAAAACAGTTCCCTACCGAAAGTGAGAATGACAGAATACAAAAGAAGTTCCCAAGTGAAATGCATTGTAGAGAAACAACCTACTGGCACTGCTGTATATTTTCACTTACTTCTTTATATATGTCGCCACACTCCTTAAATCTTCTTTCTGTTGCATGCTTCTGTTGTTGACGTATGATATTACAGCTGAAAACATACATCAGTTCATTTTTATGCTCGATAATATTGGGTTCGCCGAAATGGTTTCTCGTATTTTTTAAGGAAATTTACAGATAAGTTTTGCGTATAGAAACAGAACATTATTGAACAATATATTGTCCGTGTATTTGTTAAACAATGTAATCTTCAATCTGTTTGGGTGTGGATTATTTTCAATTAATGTCTAAATACTATCTTGTTGACTTTCGTTGGCCTTCCAGAGCGTGAAGCGTGTTTCACAGCAAACTATCAACAGCAAGTGAAAATAAACATACTCTGTCATTCACAATACCTTCGCCGTAGACTGTAGATATTTTCTTTTCCGGTTTGCATTGCATTTTTACACTTACAATAGTAACATAGCGTAATGTGTCGAAAATGTGTCATATTTTCGTTCATCTGGCGGCTATATTGAACATTATAAATAATACCTTTGTTTTTGGTTTTGTATTCAAATGACGCATCGAAATGTCGATTATCAAATTTTATTTACGTTCGTGACGTAATATATTCATTTTGACGTATCATAAAGATCACGTTGAAATGGACCATAAGACTTTCCGATTAATCTTATATTTTGCAGTACATATATATCTATATTCCATGCTACATTTACGTAGCTGATACATAAGTGCACATTATTTTCGCATTAATTGCATAAGTGGAGTGTTAATTACATATACAATAGACAATACACAGCACGTTATAAACAATATCATGATATCGATATACATAGGTAATATGTATAATGAATGAATCGCAGAGTTTTAACACACTCGCATACTTGTATGTTCATATTCAAAGGTGGTAAATAAATAGAACTTTCTCTTTATATCTTGGCATCTTATCGTCCTGATTATCACATGCAAAGTTAATAATCATTAATTATTTTTATTGAACCAATACGCAACATGCTAAGTACTCGTGCCTCTCAAGCATAAACGTTATTTGTTTCGAGAAGTTGACACCTCCTGCTGGTGGTCTGTGAACTCAGTTGCAGCGCGCAAAGATGTATTAATAAAATACATATTTAACGAGAACATGCTTCAATTGGATTTGTAAAACGCCAATTGCGAATACACATAAGATACTGTTATCTGGCATATTGTGCTCGTTATAGCTTGCGAAACGGGATTCCTGACACAATTTCTTTTGGCTTCCAACTCAATATTACATACCATGAAATTTTATCAGTGAATTGAATAATTGCTTGCTTCATTTTATTGACGCAATCAAGACTCCATGGAAAAAAACTGTTGATTTCAGACAGGTGTTATGCGATACATTATTTAAAGTGATCGATACATACATTAAAATTAATTTACATTCATGTTACGTACATTAAATACGTTACACATCTTGTATTGTAAGCGTGTATTCCTGTAACCATTCGTGCATGTAAATTTAAGTATGTCAATTTACTTAAGAAATATACCCAAAGTAAGAGATACAATCTTCTCACAAGGCGAGGTTCCCACCTGCAACGCTGCTTTTTTAATGAGGTTTAATCACAGTGATAGGGTTTGGAATTCTGGAGCCAATGATATTTCAGCCACATATGGCCATTAGTTTATGAAATACAGTCTGTCGAATAAGAGCGTGACCGGTCAAATTTCTACCTGGCTGCAGTTATCAGAAAAATTCCGACAAATTTAGGTAGTCTTGTTAATATCTGGTCATACGCGTTGCGATTGGTAGCCAACGCGCGGGGGCTCCGCCGGCAGACTCGCGCTCTAATTGATCGGCGTTTTTCGTTAATATCTCGTTAACAAAGCCTTGGATAACATTTTTTCTAATGAAAAACTTGTTCCACATCACCTCACGAGTGACCCCTCTGACTAAACATTACCGACACGGATCCGATACGTGTCGGACACGGATAACATAAATCCACTTTAATGCAAAAAACATGAATGAAACAATAGGAACCGCGAACGGCTAAATAACGTGCGATAACGGGGAACGTTTTGGCGCTAAACGATTCCCCGGGACATGTTGTAAATTACGCGAAGGAACAACAATTTAAATACGACCGCGACATCGCGTCTGCCGGCGTTATATTAATCACATTTCGCGCCGTTTCGCCGCCACGGCGTGGAGGGTGTCCACCGTACGGAATAGCCCGGCGGCGGTCGTTCCCGCGACCGCCCGTTGATTTACTATTTCGTCGACTCGTCGATATATCGGACAAGATCGATGCAAGCCGCACGGCTTGTACCGAGCCGCCGGAGCATATTACCGCTGTTAGAATCCCGGCTGGCCACGGTGTTCGCGACGGTGAATAATGCGTTCCATCTGTTCAAACCGGCGCGGCGAGGATTTCTTCTCCCTCGATGAACGGGGGCCCCGTCGCGATTTCCACCTTTCCTTCCGCGCGCGAAACGCCTACGTGTCGGTCCATCGCGCGAGGATGCACGCGCGTGTACATATCAGCACGCGCGCGCGCGCGTTGATCAACGGGAACGATGAAAATTGCACGCGGAGGAAGATCGATCGGTGAAGGGATCACGGCACGGCCATGGTCCGTTCGTTCCTTCGTACGGATCGAAGACGCCGCGTCGGTAATGGGGCCCCGACTCGCTGCGATTCTGCCACGGCCGTAATTTACATTGTGTCCGATAAGGAATTTCGTGTCCGCGTTTTTTCCCCGAGACGCCCGAACGGAATTTATGCCCGCAGTTTTTCGCGAAAGCTTGGCCTCTTCCGCTCGATCGGACCGCGGAAAAAAGGAATGTGCATTGTTTTATGGGTTCGAAAGGAAACTCGAGAAAGGGAAGGGAGTGTTTTCGAGAAAGTTGCGGTGCTCGCGAGACACGAGCGTCCAGCTGTGTCGTTTGGAGTTGGTCTGGATAGGTGATATATTCTACTGCCTGGTGAGGTTAGGAACAGTTCGGTGGAAACAGTGGAATATCCAGTGCGGCGTTCGGCGCTTCAAGTAAGTATACATTAAATACATCATCGATGAGTGTTTGAGGGCTCCTCGACGCTGACAAGGATTAACGGTCAGGGTGGGCTAACCTTTCAATTCATTAAAATTATACATGCCAATATACATACAGCAAGAAATCGTTGCAATATTGTCTATCAACAAAACAATTTATCACTTTTTATCGGAAATCAATTCCACCACCAGTTTCCATATACGGGAAATTCTCGATGGGTGTTCGAAGGCTCCTCGGAACTCACAAGGAGCGGTTTCCAGGTGTAACGCTGACTTTTTTATAAGGTTTGCACAGTGGTAGAACTTGGAATTCTGAAACCAATAATATTTGTTTCGGCCGCATATGGCCATTAGTTTATGAAATATTTAGTGTTCAGTGCCGAGAGCTTCGAACACTCATCGATGATTTACTGTAGCATTTATAAAAGCCACTGAATATTACTTTTAACTCTAAAAAAAGGATGTAAGCTATATTGTGGACCATCGAATGATCATTTTATACTGATTGTACCGTTCGAGGTCCGTCTGGGAAACCTCGAATATATATTCCGAATGAATACATCTCTTTGCAGACCTGCTGAGTAACGTCACGTCTATCAGCCACGGTTCAACTAACCGTTAGTCCTCCTCTATTTAGTTCCCCGATACGTCAGGCATGTTGTGTAAGTGTCTTATAAAGCATGCGCGCGTATGTTCGTTTTCGATGCGTTCGGAACCCGTGGGTTTATATTGCTAATTAAGTAATTGAGGGTTAAGGAGGATGGGTCGAAGCTAACCGCGTGGAGTTGCAACGCGATAATCCCTTGAAATGCTTCCTGGTTCGGCGTAGGTCGTTGAAAGAGGATAAACGCAAGACTGCGACGGCAAAAGGGACGGCAAGGGGGGTGGGGGTGCACGTGGAGCGGAGGCGAAACGTGACACAGGCGTGCGCTTTGGGAATTACGAGCAGAATCCTTGATGCCGGTTTCTTCGAGCCACGGCGAGGGGCTTTGGCCCCGCAGATTTATGTATCGGTAATTACTTTCCTATCACGGTCAGGCTAATAGGCCACGGTGGAGTGGGGTTCGAAGTAGGGGAAGAACGGAGATCGTTTCGTATCGAACTTATTGGGACGGCAGCTGTTCAATGTCGAGCACGCTCGTTCGACTCTAGGCCGGCTTGGGGACCTCATGTGGCGAGAGCCTATCCAATACGATCGATAATAAAACTGCAGGTGCACCTGATATTCTTCCCGCCGCGATTAATCGATGTAGGTATCTGAGATTCGTTGGCGAACGTTATCGCCGGGACTATTTTGACCGAAAGACGTTGACACGCATGCGCGAACCTTGGTATTGAAAGTTAGAAGATTGATGATTTTGCTTGTTGGGATTAATCGAGCGGACCAGTATCGAGAGATGTTGCAATTGCTGCACGTGGTGTGATCAAATGGATTTCTGGACGTAGCGCAGCGTTGTGGAAAGACTGTAAGTGAGTCAAGAGACCTGATATAGGAATTGTATTTTCGTGAATATGAAATCAATACACATATATAATTTTAATACGTACAGTAAAGATTCTATGAGAGTTGGTTAAGAAGTTCGTCGTGAGAATTTCTCGGGTAAAAACAAAGCGAACGTGTTATCGTGTAGAAAAATATAGCGGGTAATTAAGAAGGCCGTGATTCAAACGGAGTCCGTTCTTGCATGACTGTTTTCAATTAACTGGACCCTCGTAAGCCCCGTCCGGTATCAACGGTCTTATGCATGCGCAGGAAGCCGGCATATGTGCCATGAAAATGAATAAAAACTATCAGGCGTAGCTTACGCCGGCATGGTTTCGCGTGAAAAACCAAATGGAGTTCCGTAGGTACTCGATACAAATTTAACGCGTCTATAAAGAAACGCTTTAGCGGCGTTGTGCGAACGACTCGAAGAACATGTTGCATTATCGTTCCTGGCGGCATGCTGTGGTTCTTCACGGCAATGTACATGTATGCGGCAATACCGTTTCAATTATGCCCACTAGCGACCGTGACTATTTGATAAATCCCAGAAGACAATTTTGAAGCGAATCCGGTTTCAAACTCTCAAGGGGTTTTTACTGTATTTTGCATTTGTTCCGTAGTATATTTTCTTTCTAGTAAACGGGAGATCCACAGAAGCATCTAAGGTTGTCGAGATAATTATAAACTGTGGACAACTGTTGTCTATGGATATGTTAAAATATTTTTATCTTTAGAATTTTTTTGTTTTAATAATCTCCAGTTAACACTCAATTAACGTCTCGTTTAACGATTGTTTCCTTTCCAAATATTGAATTACATTATTATTTCAATCATTAGAACACCTGGTTTGTATAAAGAAGAATGTGATGTTTCGTAAAAATTCTACATTTCGAGTCAATTTTTCAATTTAT